CAAAAAGCCATTCACGCACACACTCACACCTTATAGAAGCCAATTAACCTAACAGTCATGTTTTTGGACTGTGGAGGAAGCCGTAGTACCTGGAGAGAACCAACACATGCACATGGAGAACATGCAAACTCCATGCAAAAAGACCCCTGGCAGGGAATCAAACCCGAAACCTTCTTGCTGCAAGGCAGCGTTGCTACCCGCTGCACCACTGAGCACTGCTGAATCGATGATTAGTGGTGATTCAATTAATTCTTCTTGTACTGTCTACCAGAGGTGTCAAGTAACGAAGTACAAATACTTTGTTACTGTACTTAAGTACACTTTTTAGATATCTATACTTTACTCCATTAATTATTTTTCTACCTACTTTTGACTTCTACAGTTTCACACAAGTATCTGTACTTTCTTTTCCTTACTTTTTTTAAAAACAAACGTTACTCGTTACTCTTGGCTTCGGTTTAATGTTTATAAATATTTATTTCATGTCATGTGCTCCATCCAATGCAGAACATTGGCGCCATACAAAACTGAAAACTAGTGTAATTGGATGAGTCATAACGCAAACACTCATTGGTTAGCTAAAGGAAACCATCAGAAGCAAGCAGGTGTTCTTCAAACTACAAACCTGAATTGTCTATGCCATGCTACAATGTAGGATTCAGAAAAAGATGTTGAAATGTCTGAAAGGTCGAACACAGATGAGAGCGTATCGGGAGATGGAGACCAACAAGACCTCCCTCATCCTTGGCCCTATCTCAAAGAATTTTTCAAAATTGCTGTAAAATTTAGCTTTCAGTTCATCTAGTGGCATCTGGTTGTTTCTTTTTTAAAGGTTACTTTATACTTTTATACTTTCAGTAGTTTTTGGAGCACATACTTTTTCACTTTTACTTGAGTAAAGAGGTCAAGTTGAGTTCAACATTTACCAGAGTGTTTTTAAACTGCAGTATCTATACATCTACTTAAGTAACAAATGTGTGTAGTTTTGAAACCACTGCAAGAAGGCAACAGTGCAAACAGAAAGTGTTCACAGTGAGAAGTGTCTTTTCTGATATGTTTTTTTTTTTTTAGGATATTCTTTGCTTTTTAAGTCAGCCCAGTGAGGGTAGAGGTCAGCCAATGATTTTTGGGCTCCCCTTTTGGAAGCACAGATGCAGTAAATTAGCATGTTCTCTCTCTGGAGCACTTGTACAAGGACATTAGCAGTTGCTGCTTGATGTTGTTCTTCCTTATAACCCTCAGGAAGTGCTTTTTTTGTCAGCTACAAGGTTTTAATGTTACACATGACGTCCTGCTCAGTGTGTACCAGGAAACAGAAACCAGCCACCTTCTCCAAACGCTCTACTCAGATAATTAGTGGTGGAATATTTGTTCTTTTTTCCTGTAGTCTATTGTGAGGTCTTCTGTCTTGGAGGCATTGAGGAGCAGATTGTTTTCTCCCTGAACCAAACTGATAGCTGCTCAACCTCATCCCTGTAGGTGGTCTCCTGAAATTAGCCCCATTGTGGTATCACCAGCAAACTTGACATTAAAGTTACTCTGCTGGTCAGAGGTGCAGTACTATGTGTCTTGACTCTCAAAAAGTTTCAGTGGCACACAGCCTGCAGCTTCTGAGTAAAAAAAACATAGAACATGAGGATGAATACTTCATTATTTTATACATATCTATGCGAAGGTGAAACTCCCAGAGATGAATGAGATGTTTATTTGTTGAACTAATAAAATACTTGTGTCCTGCACAGTGACTGTCCACCAATACCCATTCAATCAACTCCAAAAACCAAGACAGGCTTCCCTTCGTTCAAACGTTCAAGTCATAAAAGAAGATTAAACTCTTCTTTTGTTGTGTGCTTCTCTACAGCTTGAATCAATTTGGAATATATGAATCCAGGTAAAAAGAATGATCTATTAGTATTTCTACCATTACAGTAAAATAAGACAGTTTGATCATTTACACTTAAAATAAGACATGCAACAGTTTTTTCTTATTTTAAATATAAATTGTTATTTTCTTATTGGCCCCTCAATTCAAGACAAAATGCACTCATTTGAAGAAAAAATAACTTATTTAGATTTCATTCCTGAAAAGTTACAAATTCAGCAAAGAATTTTACTTTAGGATTCATAAAATTAATTTTCCATTGATGTTAGGTTCAAAAAGCCAGTAAAAGAAGTGAAGGAAAGATAAATCGCATTTTCCTTATGATTAATACTTTAAAATATAAAGAAATACCTAAACCGGTGTAGATGTATCTTATTTTTTTGTTGTTTTTGTTTTCAAATTCGAGTTGCCTGCAAATTTTCGTTTGGTTCCCTTGTGACAGTTTATGTGGATATTTTCCAAAGCATCAATTTGTTTAACAGTATTTCCTTCAAAATGTGTTTTTTGAGGAAACAAAACATATTGGAAATATAATAATATATATTTAACAGAAATAACTGCCTCCTACTGTTGTTCATCTGCTTGGTCATACACTGCTAATCTCAACCATCTATTGTCATGTAAGCTAGTGCGGTATGTTACTTCGATACCAACAGCACACTGTGGTTCAGATGCACAGCAAAAGGGTTTTTTTTTCAGTTGTATTTTTGTTTTTGTGTTTTATGCTGATCCCACCATTGTTCAGTGAGGATGCAGTCAGGGCTGCTGGCAGCTCAGTCCATCCTCATCACTGGTTCAGAGAGAAGTCTAATAAATGCTGAGCCATGGTGACGGGTGTCGTTGATCTCTCTGTATTGAGATTCTCTCTAATCATGGCACGACTTTTTTGGAACTGATATTGAACCACAAAGTTTTTTCAAAAGAGTCAGTTATTCTAAAATTGGCAATTATTCCAATTTTGTGAATGTTGTAAATAGTAATTTCGTCATCTGCTTTGATTTTGAGAAAGGGTTGCACTAATAAATAAATCCCCTAATATGTTCATGGATGGCTCTAGCCAGGGACCAAAAGGGACCAGTGCCCTGAAAGTGCCCTATTAAAACCCCTGTACAGGACATATAACACTAAATCATCATTTTATGATGATATGCACTAACAGAAGAGTGTAACTGATTGGTCCATTGAACCGATTTATGTTTTTTCCCTTTAGACTAAAGTTTACTTTAACAACTATTTAGAAAATAAGGTTTGTTACTTTAAGCTTCGGCTGTATTAAGATAGGATTTTAATCTGTTAGTTCAGGAGACTGCTACTTTGGCTTTGTGGCTAACTGTTTATACTAAATGATGCACCATTACTGTTTTTTTTCTGGTTAGAGTTTTTGTGAAATCTCCAGTAAATGGACATTTTCAACTTATTCCGGCAGGGTACAGCCGGATATAACCTGGGCTACGCTGACTTGCAGAAGTTTTCATGCTGGGAACTCTGTCTACGTACCTTGTCTTCTCCAGACTGATTAATGCCCTATGTCTGGCATGCTGGAGAAGCGTTTCTTAATGTTTTTTTCCCTCAGACTCACTCTTCCAGACCAGCATATGCCCGTGCAGAGCAAGATCAGCTGCACCACATGGGGTTGCCACATCCTTTATCAAACGAGCCACATCCAACTGCGGGGGGCATTCACAACGATGATCATAAGGCTACGAACGTGTTTGACAAAAAATGCACAAATGGGATGCCATATTGCACCCAGCTTCAAAAAGCTGCCAGAATTAAAGCAGCTGCCAATATAACTGAAAGCAGGAGGGGGTAATAAACGCAGGGAGTGTAACAAAGAACCGGATGTGGTCCCTGACTTTACAGGACAAAATCTTACATCCCAATAACAAAGCTAATTGTCTTTTTACGAAGAAAATCCTACTTAATTTTTTTTTTCTATTACTTATATGATAATGACAGATACATAAAACAACATAAATATATGCAAAGTATACTCTGACATTAAGTTGCATTGTGATTTATTTTAGATCTTAAAAAGCAGGAACATTCAGTGGTACCAGCATGTTTACTTTCATATATTCCTTTTTTATAGGAACGAGAAAATCACAGGCCGATGGGCTTCAACCACAAGACACGATATTACAATTAGAAACAGAAAATGATGACTCACCAGTCGCTATGGAAAAAAAATCCCATCCAGTTACCTAAACTGAATTTTTCAAGCTTGACCATGACCTGGATGACTGAGAATCTTCCTGGACATGTAGTAAAATACAATAATCCTCAAAAAAAAAAAAAAAAAAAAAAAAAAGACCTTTATAGCTAAACAGCAACTGTATAATAAACACTACAGGTCCTAAAATAACAAATCACCAAAATCCATTCTCAGCATTTATGACTAGTTAAAACACAAGGGAATTTCTGCAGATAACAGAAAGGGAATAATGTAAACAGAGCAATTAAAATAAACATGCAAAAAAAATTGTTGAGCTTTGATGCATTTACACTGAAATCCTTGAATAATAAGATTAGTATAACTCAAAAATGTGTTTATGATATGCAAAAAATGTCGAAATGAACAATGATTAAATTTACTTAATCAGTATGGATAAAATATGATTGCGTATTTCCAACAGTGCAGGAAGCAAATTCTCTATTAAAATGAATAGGAAGCACCTAAGTTAATATGCTTATGGTTCATTTTACGAATAGATAAATAAAACAAATCTGAAAAACAGATTAAATGATAAATAAATAGATGGAAACAAATTTTTTTTTATTTCTGAAAATAACTAAAGCTAATTTATTGGTTATTCAACACACTTAACACTAACACTAAGTTTAATGTCACAAACACAGAGACACAGTGTGGCATCATTTTAAAGATACTACAGAGACTCATGTTTTTCCCACTGGTATTCTAACCAGCTAACCAGTTCACTATTAGTAAAAATGAAAAGCAGGATATTGGACCATGAGAGGTGGATGTAAAGTAGAAGGGAGGGGCAGGAGCCACCGAGGGAATAGATGGAGAGGAGAGGGAGGCTGTGATGAAGGAGGCTGATGTCATCTTTGATGATGAACCAATCAGTGAGCAGGAACGGTAAGAAGGCAGGGTTTGGAGACAGAGCTCTGAAGGGTGTGTTTTATGTACCACTGCAGATCCAATGCAATACAAGACTTTAGAATAGGAATGAGACAGACGACAGAGCTGCAAAGATGCTGAGATAAAGAAAAGATAGAGATAGGAATGTGATGAGGAGAAAACAGACGGGATAAATCAACGGGATAAAAGACAGGTGGAGATAAAGAAAGAGGAGGAACACCTGCAGAGGTAAAACAAAGGCTTAGCAGGCTGACGCATGTGTCTGAGTGTCAATGAATGTGTTGGTGTGTGTGTTTGTGTGTGAGGTTGGGTGGGTTTGCGAGTCAGAGGGCTGTGGAAGAGATCTGTTACATAAGACACTGGCAGGTATGAAAAACTGAAACATCTGTGTGAAGGTCTGATTGTTTAGACTAAAAATAAATGAATGTTGGTATGTTTTAGACTGGGCCATAAGATGTCTGTTTGCCACCTTTATGATGCACAGAAATACCCATGTGGAGCAAGGTAGGAGTGGCAGTCTGGACGTCCTTTGGCAGATTGAAAAGGAAAAAAGAAGGCAGTCTGAGACACATCCACTCCTTTATTTCTACCGTTCATTCACATTTCTACTTTGATGTCACTATCAGTTAGTAGAGCAGCTTAGAAAAAGGCTACACCGGTCTTCAGGGAGTGTCTGACTTCCTTAGTTCAGCTTTATCAGTCTCTGATGTCATACATCATCTTCAGGCGCTTGTTTTTATTAATATTGAATGAAATGAAGCACTATACAAAAATTCTGTTGTTAATTATTCATACTAGTAAAGCCTCCTTTCTTTCATTACAATTTCAGACTAAGTTTTATCAAGAATAATCTTTTGGTGTTGATTTGATCTGACTATAGAGTGGAATGAGCATTTCGCCACAAAGTTACCACTGAGAAATCAGTAAAAATATAGAAATTAAGCTGGATTCAGATGTTTATGTCAGTCAGTTTATGTTTAGTTTTGGCTTAAAAATATTATCTTTTACAAAGAATATTTTATCACATAATTGATTTTTCAAAAACAGCTTTGAATTTGTTCTGGATTTGTTCTAATCCGCATACTGTAGGATCAAAAATGTACCTTCACTCTCATCTATAAACAAACCCTTTATTATATAGATAACTGTATACTTTTCTAACCATTACCAACCTTCTGGCATAAATTTAGACCTTTTCCTGGCAGAGATGGAGGAGTTCATAAATGAAGGTGTTTCTTTTCCTGCCACAGACCAGTCCATTAGTGCTTTAAATGGTTGAGGTCAGAACTTTTAGAAGGCCATCTAACTGCTGAGCTGAGCAGATGTTTTACATTTTTCGTCTTTTGTGTGGGATTGCTCTGTACCACTTGCAGCCAAACATTCATCCATTTTCGGTCACGCTTATCCAAAGCAGGGTAACAAGGGGTGCAGGGTGCCTATTTGGAGTTGTCTATGGGCGTGAGGCGGGGTACACCCTGAACAGGTCACCAGAGAGACAAACAATCATTCAGGCACATAGTCACACACACACTTTAGGAGAATTCAGAGAAGCCAATTAACCTAACAGTCATGTTTTTTTTGACTGTGGGAGGAAGCTAAAGTACCTGGAGAAAACCCATGCATGCTCAGGGAGAACACACACTCCTTGCAGGAAGGCTGGGAATCAAACCCAGAACCTTCTTGCTGCAAGACAGCAGTGCTACCCACTGCCCCACTAAGCAGCCCTTAATGCAGCCAAACAGTTCCAAACCATTATGCTGACACCACTGTGTTTGACATTAAGTAAAATGTCCTTCAAACAAACGTCTTGTTTGTGATGTTTCACCATTAAAGCCCTTCTCCAGAATCAATGTGGGCAGCTGCTAACTTCAGTGCATCCCAAAGGTTTTCATTTTTTTTTACAAGGCTTTCCCTCCTGGTTTAAGAACAGCATTTCTTCCCAGGCTCCAAAAATGTTACATCTAGTATGAATTTTCAATTCTCCTTATTGATTTTTTGGAATTTATTTGATTTACATTGATTGACTGTCCAGCTGAGAACTGCCAAATCCTGTTTTGAGCTGCAAAAAGAAACCAAAGTTAGCTCATGGTTTTGTGCCGCCACAGGCACCAAAAAATATTTATCCCCAAAAACAATTAAAAGTTTTAGGATTACATTAGAGAACAAGTTCCAAAACATTGCACCTCATGACCCAAAAACTTAATTAGTGAAATAGTTAATTTATTTCACTCTATATTTATTCATAAATATAAAATAAAATCATTATTTTCATTTTAATTGCAAACGTATTTGCACCTTTGAATTTGATGATAAATTCAATATTTTAATAATTTATTAGATAAATATAGAAATGGTACAGCCACTTGTTTTATGGTACATTTATTTATTAAGTATTTCTATGTTTGGCCTTTTATATAACTCAGGAATCTTATCACAATTATTGTAAAAAATATTTTGTGATCCCCACTTAGTGTCTCGTGAGCCCAACTTTGGGAACCCCTGGATTCGAGAAAGGAGTGAATACATGCATGTGTGAAGTCATTTCACTGACTATAACTCATATATAATAAAATACTCAGTTTTAGATAACAGCAATGTCTATGATGAGTGGAAAGAGAGTTCTGACCACTTCTGACCACTGGAATACCATGATATTCATTTTACACCTGTGTTTGTTGTGGCAAAATGCATTTAAAGCTAATTGGGAAGATATGTTCCCCATGATCATCCGTCTGTTCTGTTTGCAAAGAACATAAAAATAAAACAAAAAAGCTATGCATTCATTAAAATATTTATTTTTTTGTATACAGCATGTACGTAAATATCATATTCAATAAAGTGGAACATTATTAAAAGGTTTATTTATATCAATCACTCAGCTTACTACTTAAAACCTATAATTGATAAATTGCACATAATTTGTTTTTTTTTTCTGTTAATTATGATAATTATTACAATTTCTTTAATGTGGAAATGTGGACTTTTTAAAAAGCCTATTAGAAAAAATATTTTAGCTTTATGTTTCAGTCATGATGAACCATCTTTTTTCTCTAAACCATTGTGTAAACCACTGTTTTATTTATTTTTCTTCATCCCTTGTTTATAACTCACCTCTCTTTTAATCTTCTCATTAGAAGAAAGCATAATGAAGGTAATCCATGAGTTTAATAATAGTCTAGCTTTGATTTGTGATGCAATAATATATTCTTTATTGTCTTGCATAGGATGTTTTTTTGGACTCACTGTTGTCAATAGTCCATTAGAGCACTATTAAAGTCTTGGAAAGTAAAACACGTATCACTCAGTAAGATACATAGCATGGTTTCTGTTAGTATATAATAAATAAATCTAGAAGAGGAGAGTACTGAGCAACAGATGTTCTCCTAAACCCATTCAGCCAAACAAGACATTGTTTTATACTTCAGTTGGAGAAGGCGATATTAAATTAGAAAATGATTCAGTTTTTGGAGTCTGTTGCCTGACAGATCTAAATAATCTCTTTGTGTCTGTTTAGTAATTGACTGGTCAGAAATGATCTGAAGTAGTGGTTTCCAGTCCACTGCCAAAGCAGACCCAGCAGCTGGTCCTGAGACAGCCAGAAAGCAGAGCCAGTAAGACCTGGTTGAATGGCTGCCCCCTTTTTCTGAGAATAAAAAAAAATGTATACATAATTAAAATGAGGCGTGTGATGTTAGTAGGAACAACAGAGGAGAAAATCAAACAGATCCGAAATATTTTTTCCCCAAAATAATCTTTTCACTGTGCATTGATGCTATAGCTTCATTTGATGATCCAGAACCATCTCAGCCTCTGTCCCAATCAACTGCAAATTTTATAGCAAAATTAAATTACTGACCACAACTTACCAAAATACAGCAGATGTCACCCAAATTACTTCATAAGACTAACAGGTCCAAATTAGATAATCTTTTTTTACAAAATAAAAATTAGGGATCCACTAATCTGATCATACCAGAAATTGGTTCAATATCAGCCAAGAAGCGAATGTCCTAATATATTAGCATGTATCCAAAATCTCAGCTGTAACGATGCTGTTAGAAAATCTAGGGTTATCTAGTCCACTGGTTAATAATACATGGGGCTGTTGTTCTTATTGTTGTTAACTGTAGTTCTGTTTGAGTAATATCACTTCATCAGGCCTTTTTTAACATTCAACAATAGAAAATGAGGAATTTAATTATGTATGATTTGTGCTGATATCTTATTAGGTCAATATTGATATCTGTCAATACCTGCAATATCGGTATTGTTTTGGAAATAATAAAGTTGTAACAGGACCCTCATATAAATGAGCCCAAACACTTCAAACTAGTCTATATTTTTCCTTTACAATATTTCATTTACAAAAAACAACAATAATAAGAGTTAAAGTTGTTATTTAATTTATCTTTTTCTACAAATTAACTTTACTATTTCATATTTTACACTTAATTACTTAATTAATTAAATAAATCTTACAAAGTTAAATTATCTTGCAATATGAAGAGATAGTTTCACTCATTCTGAGTAACTTTCTTTCAGATTTATAGTTTTTATCTTTCTCATTGTGCTCAGTATACATTTGGAGCTATATGTTTGAAATACAGGGTAGCTTTAACACAGCCTTCCTGTACCTTTAGCATGTGCATCAACATCAGAGTCTTCTATTTTGTCTAAAGAGTTGTTTAGGAACAGGAGCTTTGTGCAATTATTATGGTATCCAGTCCAAACTATATTTAAATACACTTAACTTGAAATTGAAGCCATTTATTCATGGAGTTCCTCAAGGCTATATCCTTCCCCTTCTCTATTCTACCTACTTCAACTAGGATCCATCCTTCCTAAACACAATGTTACTTTTCCCTTCTACGCTGATGACAGCCAGATTTATGTGCCAATTAAAAAAAAACATTTCTTCTGTGCAAGCAATCTTTTTAATTGTATTAAGGAAATTAAAGCTTGGATTTCTTTACATTTTCCGTTCTCTTCTAAAACAGAGGTCTTGCTGTTGGGATTCTTACATGTGAACTTGGGTCCATATTTGATACCTGAAGTGACCAACCTTGGTGTTAAGCTGGACAGCTTGGCTGTTACTTTGAGTCCAGTTTATTTTAGCTGAAACTCATTTAAATTTTAATTAAACCTATTATTTAGAACCAATTCAGAACACAAATCTTCTGAAGGCACTTTATAGAGATAATTCAACCACACCATACAGTAAGATGGGT